ATTTGTATAATGGAACATAAAATATTGTTTCGTTATTGAGAGTGACTAATACGTTATAGAGAATGAATTGTCTAATGGGTTATATAGCAAACCAACCATTATTATGTAATGTTTATGTTATATAGTGTTTTTCGTTGTAAAGAGTTTCGTTATAAAGAGTTTTCACTGTATTCAGTAAAACCTGAAAATCGAGTTTTTTGACGTTTTGAGTGTTATGACTTGTGCATTATGACAATTTGCAAATTAAGCCAAACTGTGCCAACAATATGTACAAAATAATTAATCTCTGACTTATTTATAACCTATTTAACGGTAGTATTGTTAAGTTTTAGGTTGTATGTTCCATTAGTATAATTATTTATCCAATAATATGTATTAAATATTATAAATTATAGACTTGAAGCTGCTGAAAAATTGGGTTTTAAAAATTATGGCGAATTATCATTGATTACAAAAATGGCACCTTCAATTTCAGTTATAGAAAACACATTATTGACAATATTGGATAAAGGTAAATACAAATTACTATATAATATATATTGTAGCTATATTTTGTTTAAAATAATATTATTTTAAATTATTTTGATTATTTGTACAACAAATATGTTTGATACCTATTTACTTCAGATATGTCGTATTTATTATGTACCTGAAACTATTATGTGAATAAATAATTATTTACAGCGAGACCATTACAAGACAAAGAAATAGAATCATTACAACTTTTTTCAAATAAAAAGGGTAATGAATATCCTATTCAAATGTGGGATGTTAGTTACTGGGCAAGATTACAAAAAAAAGAACTCTTTGGGTTAGTTATATTTCCAGTTAAATTCTTTACATTGTCATGTTTTATTTATGTATAAAATATATTAATTTTTTTAGTTACGATGAAGTTCAGTGGTCTGAGTATTTCCCATTAGACCGAGTTTTAGATGGTCTCTTTGAATTATGTAGACGACTATATGGAATACGCATTTTAGAAATGCCCAATAGAGCTGACGTTTGGCACCCTGATGTCAAATATTATGAAATAATACACGAAAATGACCCTTCTATTGTGGCTGGATTTTATTTAGACCTCTGTTCTCGGTATGTACTTTAAATTATAAATTGGCAGTGAATGTGACTTATGAGTAAATAATTTTCAGGCCACAAAAAATGAGAGCTGTCGGTGAACCTGGTTGGTTAGTAACTCATAGGACTGCATCATCAATACCAAAAAAAGTATTACCTTTATCAGCTCTAATAATGAACTTCCCGTCAGCGCAGAATAAAAAGCCAAGTTTATTGAGTTTCGACCAAGTGAAAACCTTATTTGGAAAAGTAAATGTCTTGTTTGTTGATACATAACTGATATTATTTATAATATTTTGGTAAAATTAAATTTTAGTTTGGACATTTACTGCAAAATGTTCTTTGTCAAGTGCATTATGCCGAAGTATCTGGTTTGAGTAATGTCGAATGGGATGCCGTTGGAATAACCAGTAACTTTATGATTCATTGGTAATTAAAATTAGATGAAATATCTATATTCCTATATTGTTGCTTATATTTATTTAAAATATTAATTTTTCATTTAGGTTGTATGATAAAGATACATTTGACAGTATTAATAGCCACTACAAGACAGGTAAAAGATTACCAAATGATCAACTGACTGAAATCAAACAACACATGGCAGGGTTCAATACTTGTGAAGAACTCTACAAATCTATGATTGACATTAAAATGCATACTATGTAAGAATATCACATTTTAATATTAACGTGCATTATTTAAAAAATATTGAAAAGTGAAAAAAAAATTGTATTTAATTATTCATTGGTAATCGTCAGTGGCAAAGCGTCATAGGAAAACAATGTTTAACTATTAAGGATATTGATGAATAATTTGGTTTTATTAAATGTAAAAAATATATTTTTTCACAAATTTGAATGTAGGTCTGAACTCTGAATGTTAGGGTTCTGATTCCAATGCATTTGCATATTTGTTTTGGAAATGATTGATATGATTCTTTTCATTTGCCAATACATAAGTACAAACTGCTAACAAAATTATCTAAATATTTTCAAAATATGATTATCAATAATATTGTCATAATGCCTGATTCATTTTGTTTTCAACATCTTGCCTTAATCTAAAGACTGTACTTGCTAGTAAACTTAAAAGTATTATTTGTTTTATAAAAAAATAACTTCAAAACATGTCTTGTGAAACTTTTCTGTTAGGTTTACAATTTAAAAAATAATTCAAAATTCTCTAATTTCAACTGACCTTTCTTAATTTCATTGTCTAATTCTTATTCTGAAGTCAGAGAAAACAACACCCTTTCTATAATATTTTAACAATAGTTATATTCAATCTAATTTGTTATAGTATCACATCACTACTGTATATAATATTATTGTACTGCATTTGATGTATTGTGTTATTTATAATTATCTTTTACTGTGTTTTCTTATATTTATAAATTATATTATATAATAATACATTAATCTTTTAGCAAAACAAATTGGAATGACCTGGTGAAAGAAATGTGGAGTAATTACTATGGATTTCCATTAAGTAAATGGAACAGTTTCCCATGCAGGTTTGCTGAGGTTATGTCTAATGAACAAGGAGCAGCAAGTTACTACTCTGGATTATGGTCTAGAATAATAGCGGCTGATGTATTTCAATCATTTAAGGCTCCAGATGAATCTACTAAAAATTTAGGAAATAAGTAATACTTGAATTTCATCACTATCAATATTTCATATTTTACATTTTTTTTATTTAATAATTTTAGTTTTCGAGATACCTTTTTTGCATTTGGTGGCAGCTGTCCATCTGGAGAAATATTCAGACGTTTCAAGGGACGAGACCCTAATCCCAAAGCATTTATTAGTGATCTTGGTCTTGATAAAGATGATAGTAATTAAATTATAGTTTAGTTATGTGTTATTATGTAAACACATAAAAAATTAAGAATATTGATAATGTTTTAATGTGTATGAAATATTTTCAATATAATATACATTACAGAGTATAATATTAAATTATTTTTCTTTGATTTAAAAAATTATTAGAAATAATAAATACCTGAATAATCTTATAAAACATTTATTCCCTTATTTAGGTACCCTTGTTTTGTCATGTTATGGTTGACTGAACACAAACATGGTTACACATTATTATTGATTAAACATGAAAAACTAAAGGGTTGATAATAAAAATATAATTGTTTTTATTTTTATATTACTACACAGTAAACAATATTAATGTTTGGTCATGTCTTACAGAACATATAATGAATTGTGGGCACAAGCTCAATTAACACTGGACGAGGCTACTAAAAATGACTCGAACCTACTTACATCTAAAACTAATAAAGATAAAGTAGTTGTGTTCAAAGAGTTGTCCACAGTCATGGTTAGTTATATATTAGCAATTAATAAACTGGATGAGTGTTATGACCAAGTTATTCAGCCTCAAAAACGAATACTTATCAGGAACATTCTGGAATTATCTTTAGGACGTTATTTAGAATTAAAAAACGATATGGTCAATTTGAACTATAATGAATTTACATACTTGGACTCAGCAACTGCACAGTTGGGGTTATTACCACAAGATGTAGAGCTGACAATACCGTCACATTATCGAAACGAGAGGCTTAAAACAATTGAGTGGCAAAGTAATTTTATTGATGAAGTATTGAAGAAAACTGGTTTTTACGAAGAAGAGAAAATTGAAGTTGATATGCCTATTCGACAAGCGATATTATTGATACAAAAGCACGAGAGGGCGCGGCAGGGACGAATGAGAGCTCAATTCATGAAGGAAGTTAGAGCAATGAATAAACCTGATGCTGGAGACGTGGAACTTAGTGATAATGCAAAAAAAGCTGCAATGAAAATACAGAGAGTATGGCGAGGTTTTATAACGAGGAGAAAAATAAGAAGTAGAGTTGTTGAAGAAATGTTGCTGATTGGCATGTTACCCCCAAATTCAATTGATACTGAGGAACAACAAAAAGCTGAAGATGTTAAGTGTGCCAGAAGGATTGTTCAAACAACACGACAAAAAGAATATGAACTAGCACTAATACAGGAAAAAGAAAAAGTATAATTCTTATTTATTTATTTAATCATGGTATAATAATGTGAGTATTAAATATTGGAACTTAAAAGATTAGTGACCATGTAAAGGAAAAAATGAAAGAAGACATTAGAGACGAAGTACGAGCATGGTACATGGGAGTGAAATCACAAACTGGTAAATTTCCTGATTTGCCATCTGAAGAAAGTGGTGGAAGTGCTGTAATTTATACTAGATACAAAACTGCCAGTTCTCATAGTAAATCAACTAGCCAGTCATCGTCTAAAGGAACCAAGAGTTAGTTTATTTTTTTAATCACAAATCATAGAAGTTTAATGAAAATGTAATGTTATATAAATAATAACTTTCGTTAGGTCATAAAAGCAAATCGATTGCGGGAAAAGAGTCAAAGGAAGAAGTTAAAAAAAAAGCTGACGAAGAAGATACTGGTTTCAAAATGGGACCTTCAAATTTTCTCCAAGAACTGATGTTGGCTAGCTCAGAATATGAAGAAGTATGGAAAGGGATGGACGAGTCAAAAAACTCAAGCCAAATGCATATTAAAAGCATTGTTAAGACTCAAAAAGCAGCTGAAGTAGAACAAGAACTGCGGAAGGTAAATTGGCAAACACCTCAACGAAAAAATCCTCTTACTGGATTCAATAAAATGTTTTTTTTTCACAATTAGATAGTTGATGTAAGTTTGAGAGCTGAACTCGAGATTTTACAAAATGCACTTGATAAAGATAATGCTATTCGAATCAAAAGGTCAAAGAAACAGAAAAAAGTAAAAAGAAGTAGCAAAAAAGCAAAGAAAAAACGTGACAAGGATTTAACTCCTGATAGAACCGTAAATATTAACAATAATTGCTTATTATTTTTTTTTAATATAAAAAAAATACAAAACACAAAAAAAAAACAATAATGTTAATAAATAAAAGAGCTCACGGAATAGAGGCTATTTTAAAACCAATAACATACTTCAGTTATAAATTAAATAAACAGTGGTTAAGCTATGTCTGTACATTAACTGTTTAATAATTTAGTTTTGTTTTTAAAATAGATAGCTTTTATTGATAGGACAATATGATACACAAATTGATACAATTTCAATTGGTAAAATAGTGTATAACTAAAAAACAATGTTCTACCAGAAACATATATGATCAATGCTTCATCTTATAGGTTTCACTATATAAGATGCATTATGCATCTGTTAAAATCTGAATTAATTGTCATTTATGGCAAAATTATATTAATATTATACTGTATCATTAATATACGTTCATAAATTTAAAAATATGAACCTTGAGCTAATAATTTTTTTTCAATTAATAAGTTATAACAGATAATTTAAGCAGTAGGTATTTGACAATATTTTTTGTGTAAAATTTCTGTGAGGTGTAATATAATTTAAATCTAATATTGATGATAAATGTTTATGATCGTAAACATTCTTTTAAAAGTGGAATTAAATTATGTCTTATCTAAATCTATACTAAATCTCAAATCTCAATAATTGCACACAAAATGGACATTATCAGTTTGAAGAAATATGTACACTCGTATCATAATGAACAAGTACAATAGTTCATTAATAATATTATATAGCCCTAGTATACTAAGATAAATGCTATTCATTTTCAATAAAATTGATCTCTTTAATATAATATAGGTAATAACAATACCAATAAATTTATCTTTATTTCTAATATCTATAAATGAATAAAAACATAAAAAAAAAAAAATATAAACTATGATTTATGAACCTCAGATGTTATTATTTTTAGTCTTCCAATCACATTTAAAAAAAAATTAAATAATTCCATAGTTGCATGGTTATTACTTATTAAATTAATGTGATGCTAACTGCTAAATAACCATGTTAATATGCACCTACTAGGTAAGTATATACAAATTCATATGGCACAAGTCTTTGCATATTTAAATGCATTATTTTGATTTAAATAATAAATATTAAATACCATTACCATATGAATGAATATAATAATAAATTGTGACATTAGTTAATAGTTACTACCTATAGGTACCAATTAGAAATATTAAATCAATTATTGATAAAATTATAATATGTACCTGCCTTGTTGGCCGCACATCCACAGTCCACACCACTCTAATATGGTATGCCTAATTAATTCAGTTATAAAATAGATCACAATTTTTTTCTATTTTTCAACATTTAAATTATTATTCTGAATTATTCTTCACCGAGGCTAATAGGCTAATCTTTAGACAAATAATGCAAAATTAAATAAGTTGTATTATTATATAATAGTTAGTAGGCCATAGACCTAATACAATTATAGACATGTATAATACAATACTGCAGCAGGTAAGTACTCAAATAGATTGAATTCTAATACAGTAGTCGCTGCTTATTTGAAATAGGGCGTAGATTATTTCTAGATTAGGCAACAGCGTAATTGAATCGGTCCTAGAAAAGTTGTTTGTAGTTTATGGGAAAGTCCGGATTATTCAGTGGGCATATTAAACGATGACTACTAATTATTATAGTTATAATATCTCAT